CCAACAAAGTGGAAATACACTCACACAGCAGCTTTGTGTTAACTACAGCTTATCCATGGAAAACTTGGGTGATGAGCAAATTTGATCACTCTGGCACTTAATCATCACCAGGCCATGACAAAATAAAAACACAAAAGTTTGGGAAGGATTGTCTTAGAACCAGAATATTTGTTTATTTTGTATAGGTAATACATTGTAATGAAGCTAATGCACCAATGTATTCACAAAATTTCAAACTTTTACTTTAAAAATTATAAAGGTTTTGCAAAATATGTCAGATTTTCCAAATCTACACCGAAAAAGAAAGCGAAAAATGTCAAAAATCAACAGTCGAAGCCCAAATTTTGCAAGAGATGGACAGAGAACAGGGAAAATTGATAAGTCTCATCTTTTCATTGTCCCAATGCTTCATAACGATTAAGAAAAGAATCTGTAAAAAAATTTTAGTCTCTATAGTGTTCCCAAGGTCTTCTGAAAAGGGGTCTATTCTGGAATGGAAGGTTACAGAAAGATGAATATTGATATTGTTCGTCCTCTCAAGACCCAAGTCTTTGCACCAAATTTGAAATATATCCATTAAAAACGTAGCCTAATTTCTATCACGTTTTTGGCAAATGGGGTAACTCCATAACGGAAGCCTGCTGAACGCTAAATGTCAAAAAGGTTGGTACTCTCATGAACCCAATGTTTCAAACCAAATTATAAAAAAATAAACCAATGTTTTTAATACTGATTATTGATATGGTTTGTAACTGACTTACTGACAGACTGACAGAGAATGATAAGAATCGATAGGTTTCATGATACGATGTTCACTATTCATCACACTAGAAATCCCAAAAACTTAGTTACACATTTTGATAAAGTCAAATGTTCATAACCCAAGAAGATACAGCAGGGCTTCCACTTCAAAATTTTCCCAACCGGTCATTTTTCTCACGGAGAAAGTGGTGCTATTTTTAGCACATAATAAGAAGCCAAAAACTTCTGATACAGTCTGATCCGAGATCTTTGATGTTGAACATATATATATTTGTTTGTATCGAGATAGGGAAACTAATTTGTTGTCTGCTTTTTATTGATGGTTTATTATTTGTGTTGTCTTCCACACTTCATCTAAGATGAGACAAAGGAGACCATCGATATAGGAAAGGCAGTTAAATCTACAAATATCTGGATGCAGACCACCAAATCCATTCCTTATCCCACTCTTGCTCCAAAGCTTGTATTACTATGAGGCTGACCATGGGAATATTGAGAGAGTGGGGGAGAATTTGCTTGTACCAAGATAGGGAAAGTAATTCATTGTCTGCTTCCTATTGATGGTTTATTATCTGTGCTGTCTTCCCCACTTTAGCAAGGCAGCCATAGTGACTAAGTGGGTAAAACGCTGGTTTGGTAGTCTGGAGATCAAGGGTTCGATCCCGGCGTTGGCCGAGAAAGTTCCTCAGGAGTTTCTGGCGTGGCTTCCCCTTGTCGGCGATGCAGGATGGAAGGCCTGAGAAGGACAGCTGTCTAGTCATTCGGATGGTACAAAAAAACTGAGGTCCAGTGTACACATTAGAATGCTCGTAAAAGATTCCTTGGCAGTTGGAATTTGATATAAGAGTAGTTTGTAGCGCCGCTATCTGGGCAAAATTTCCATCATAGCACACTGTATGGTGTACGCCCATCTTCATTAGCCCAGTTGGAGCAGAAAAGTAGGATGTTAACCCCATTTCATTTCATTTGCCACTTCAGCAAAGGTGAGACAAAGGAGACCCCTGATATAGGAATAGGAGATAAATCTACCAATATCTGGACTGACTATAACAAATACTTTTTTTTTATCTCAGTACCCACTGAAGTCTTAATATAGGAAAGGGAGATAAATCTACCAATATCTGGAGGAAGGCCGCCAAATACTTTCCTTATTTCAGTACCCACCGAAGTCTTAATATAGGAAAGGGAGATAAGTCTACCAATATCTGGAGGAAGGCCGCCAAATATCTATCTTCCTTATCTCAGTACCCACCAAAGTCTTAATATAGGAAAGGGAGATAAATCTGCCAATATCTGGAGGAAGTCTGCCATATACTTTCCTTATCTCCGTACCTTTTTTCCCCCTTCTGCATGGTCATTTCTGATGACTTTTTGGTCTAGGATCTCAGAAGAGAAATTGAATTGATATTTTCTGTCAGTTTTTGCTGAATATCCATAGTTCAGAAGCCTAATAGATCTAAGCAGTTGGTTACAGTCATATGTACAGTGGATAGTTACATCTTTACTACATCTAGTATGCTACTTCAAATTTGTGTATCTCAAAATATCCATGGTAAACCAGTACCCCATACCAGCTTTGGAGCAAGATATTATCAGATGTTGCTCCAGCCCAAACATTTGGGAAAAAGTTGGAGCCATGCAATGATACAAGAATTAAAATTAAAGTCAATTTGAGAACACTTGGTGATCTACCTTCATCTGAATATTTGCTTTTTGCACTTTTTGACAGATCAAAGACATCAATCAACTCACCTTTTTGCTATTTAACTAGTTCTATATGGTACTGTCCTCTACTTAAAGGACAGGTTGCATAACGTGTTGTAAGAATAATCAGTTGAATTTTCTTATTCTATTTTCTTGAATCACGTACAGTATTTTAGTTTATCTCTACCTACATGTACTATAAAGAAATGGAATGATTCAAAACAATGGAAGATTTTAATATATGATTGAAATAATATAATAATTTACATGTATTATTAATACACAATAATATAAAATTAAAAAAATTGTAAAAACGAAAACAGATGGTGGTAAATGTTTTTTTTCTTTTAATGTAACATAAAAATTTCCATATAAGCTTATGGTTATATGTTTACTTACCAAATTCTTTTGCACTTATTATTTTTTCTTTGAAAGAATACTGGTTTAATTTGTCAGAGTGAGAATGAGTATGGCTTAGGTCTTTGATTGAAATTCAGATTCCAAGAAGAGCAGAGTGTATCTTTTTCAGAATCTAACCAAATTGCTTCAAAAATACATTTGCACAAATGGACACTTACCATAGACCATTATAAAAACACCATGTTACTGCAAATTCTGTAAAAAATCTTGAATTAATCCATTATCTATCTTGAATTCACACCAGTTAGTTGTGTTAGTATAATTTAGCACTATATATACTATTCAAAAAAGGTAGGGGATATTTGATTTTGGGGGCATAATACTAAAATATGCAAATGACTACGAAAAAAGTCACTATAGAACCTAACAGAAGAAACATTTCCAGTTACATGTGACGCCCAAACGCACCAATAGCTACCGCATGGAATGCAGGTGATGCTTGGGATCATCATGGGGGTCCAACCCAAGATTTGCGGCATTGAATTCCAGGGTGGAAACATCAGTTTAATTGTTTTAGTGACCAGAAAACAAATTTTGATATGCGTCGGCTTACCCAAAATGAAAGGTTACGTGCCCTTGGCATGCTACAGATCGGCACAACACAGGAGGTTGTGGCGCGGACGATGAATGTTTCTCAGTCTGTCATAAGCAGGCTATGGTCCAGATACCGTGATACACAATCTGTACAGGACAGACCACGCTCAGGTCGACCAAGGGCGACAACTCAAGCCCAGGATCGATTTATCCGTACCTTGGCCTTGAGAAATCGTGTCATCACAGCAAATCAGATCAGCGCTCGTCTTCAAACAGACACTGGTGTGAGAGTGAGTGGCCAGACGATTCGGAATCGACTGCATAGGGGTCACCTTCGCGCCCGACGTCCTCGCGTGATCCCTTGTTTGAGAGATCATCACATTCAGGCAAGACGTCGTTGGTGTAGGGATCGTCAACACTGGAATAATCGACGCTGGAGCAATGTGATGTTTTCAGATGAGTCAAGGTTCACTGTTGATTTTTTGGACAGACGTAGGAGGGTGTGGCGTCGTCGAAACGAGCGCTTCCAAGACGTTAACGTCATCAGACATGATCGATTTGGGGGTGGTTCTGTTATGGTGTGGGGAGGCATCACTGTTGCTGGAAGAACGGCTTTACATGTTGTTGCAGGGCGTGTTACAGGCCAGTACTACCGGGACAACATCTTGGCAGTCCATGTTGTGCCGTTCGCACGACGTCATGGCCGCCGTTTCATCTTCCAGGATGACAACGCATGATGTCACAGGGCCAGGATCGTTACAGGTTACCTCCAACAACAGAACATCACCACATTACCTTGGCCAGCACTGAGTCCCGACCTCTCCCCCATCGAGCATGTCTGGGACATGCTTGGACAGAGGTTACGTCAACGTCAACAACGTCCTGCCAATGTCCAAGAACTTGCTGCTGCGTTGCAACAGGAATGGGACAATCTGGACCAAAATGACCTTAGACGTCTCATTAGGAGTATGCCACGTCGGATCAATGCTTGTTTGGCAAACAGAGGAGGATTTACCCGTTACTGACTTGGTTGTGATGCTGTGGTAACTTTGCTGTTTGACCCCGGGTATCATTTTACCCTTATAATGGTCAGTCTGTGCCTTACTTAGTCTAACGATCATTTGGAATAAATCGATGAATGTGAACTTCATTTCATTTTGTCATTTGTTTCTTCATCAGTTTCATTAGGTGACTTTAATAACACTTAAAAATCAAATATCCCCTACTTTTTTTGAATAGTATATAATTAACAAAGTCTACCGATATAAAGTTAGAAAAAAATTTCCAGGAACACTGTCCTCAACTCACGAAAAAGTAAAAATACGGCTCCATTGTGCTTTCCCTTTTTCTTGATTCTGAACTCAGATTAAGCCGACATAAATCTGTAAGCTATTAAGGAAAGATGGCCTTAACTCAAGTGTGTGATCAAACTAGATGAATACCGGTACATAATACATAAAATACTTGCACCTCTATTTCTAGAAAATATAAGATATGCCACAGCTCCATAACTTTTAACTGTACAGTGTATTATAAGAACTAAGAAATTAATATAAATATATAAAATAAGAATACAGGTATTAACCATCAACTCATTTTTATTGTTTTCATGTTATTTTGTGTCATTATAATAAACAATCAAAAACCAAAGAATCTGGCATATTATAATAATGAAATCATACAATGGTTTTACTAAGTAAGCATAACTAAATGAGATAATCTTTGTTCGTTTTGGGTCAAATTAAGTCATGAATTGGGATAGCTTTTATGACCATGCTATATGTTAGGAAAGACAATTTAATTTTTACCCAATTCAAAGACAATCTATCATTTTATAGGGACAACACTCCAACATAAATAGCAAATACAAGCTTATATCCACACACAATATGGCCATTACAAGTTTACATTAATTTGTTTTCATCTTGCAATCTTCATACCCCTGAGAACATGTGGGACGTTTGGTGAGATGTTTTGAAATTTGTCCTGTTTAATTATGACAATATCATAAAATACTGTTAAAGAATGGAAATTTGTAATCTGCTAATATGGAATGGTATCTGATGTAATCATACCCTAATGAATGTTTGAACTCATTTTTAACCATTAAATTTGTAACTGGTCAGTAACATTCATAATAACAAGTAACTACATGTACATGTATTACAAATAAATAAAATATCTAAAAATGCTGTATTTAAAAGCAAGTTTTAATCTCTGATAATAATTTTCTTCAGTTTATCACATTTTATTCAATGTAGAAAATAGTCAATATAAAACATCTAGCATTATACACCAATACAATATGGAAGTATGAATGGAGTTGGCATTTTTCAGTTCACTAAAATAAAACAATATATACCTATAATTAAGTAATAAATACCATATTTACAACAAACAATACTGTCTTATATTTTAATTCTATACAATTTGATTAAAGCATTGTATTTATTTTTTAATGTTAATTAGACCCATTATGGAAAAAACTTCCCATTTTTCCATTCAACAATGTGTGATTTAGTGTAAACTATTTATGTGGTAACATTTGATTACAGTATGGTACTGGCTTGCTTGGATATAAATATTAATACAGTTTCTGATAACAGACATCATCTAACTAGTAGTTTAAGACCCATGCAAAATTTCAATTTGAAGTTTAAGACATGCACAATTTCAATTTGTCGACATTATGCATTATATTACAAGTATTTTTTTTGTTATTTTTCAAAAATTTGATTTTGATATTGATTATATTTTGCAATCAATGAATCCAATACCTACTGCATTTTTTACACATCAGTACAAGATTTTCTTTTAAAAATTGACACATCATTTTCTATACAAAGATTTATAAGCTTAAATACAACTCACATCTCACTGGAGTCTCTTTATTATTGTTGACATTTCATAAAATTACAATATTTCAATCCAATCAAAAAAGACAAGGCTTATATTTCTAAAGGAGTTTTGATTTTGTTAAATGAGAATGAGTTGTAATTAATTCAAATTACATCTTAATTTTGTTTCGTTTTTATGGTTCTCGTTTTCTACACTTCATATATAAGATCTAATATATATTCCTGAATAACAGCTGATGTTGGGATGACTAAAGTTGGTTGTGTTATGCACTAAACTTCATTGAATTTATACATGTAGCCCATATGGATCAGTGGACTATGTCTTGGGGTTTTCATTTTCTCAGCCTATTGATAAAACTATTTAGATGTTAACTAAAATTGAGTCTGGTAAAATATCAAATATTGAAAATAAGCCGAAAGAAAAATAAATAAAAAAACCATAAAATTTTGATTAGAAGTCACGTTGAATGTCAATTATACTATTCAAACATAAGTCCTTAATAAGTATTTGCATTGTGGTGGGTTGGTGCTGTTTTAGATTTATACAGAATGTGACTTTTTTAAGATCAATATATTTTCCATATCACTTATTAATCATCAATATTAATGGATAACTAATCAATATTTCCTACAGGAGACCCAAAAAAACCTGATCACATTGCATTAGATTGAAGTTTATAATTAACTGATGTTATCAAACAAAGAATATGAAACAAAGTAGATTCATTTCAGTTTTAATTGTCTTAAAATTAAAGGAGACAAAAAAAAACCCAATTCCATTTGTTTTACTTGACATCAAATAATTAATACAAGAAAATCAGTTTGAATGGCTTTTTTAAAAATAATCTGAATGTGAATTATTCAAATATTTATGTGATCACTATTTTAATCAGATTTTTTTTTCAATTTTAATTGTCCCAGTATGTTGGTGTATACATGTTGGCTCAGTGTAAACTAAAATACAGTAATCATTCTCTTTAAACTACCCAGCGTATTGAGGCAATGATAGAACACAACAAGCTCTACCAAATATCCTTGTTGGAAATTTTTCTTCTGCTTTTAAAGTGTTGGTTTTATAATCATATACTTCCAATAGATCAGAATAATAATGTTCTCCATTAATCCCGCCTACAATATAGATTTTATCGTCCAGTACACATGCTCCAGCCTCGCGTATATTTAATGTTTTGTCGCATATGGTCCATTGGTCAGTTAGTGGGTTATAAGTTTCAATAGCGATAATGGGTACAGGAAAACCATAGTTATCTTCAATATTACCACCAAATACATACAGGCGATCGTTAACACATGCCATTACATGGGTACAACGACCATGTACCAAATTCGATTTTTCATCCCAAGTATCAGTCTCAGGGGTGTAACACAGAACATTTTTACAACAACCAGAAAAACGCTGTCCACCTGATATATAAATTTTACCATTACAGACACAACCAGCATGTCCATAAACAGAATGATTTAATGATGCCTTCATATCCCACTCATTTCTGGTAATAGAGAATCGTTCGACTGTACACATCACCATATTTTCATCCTGACCTGCTATTGCATAAAGACATCCATCTAGAGCCACAATAACAAAATCTTTACGTGATTCATTCATTGATGTAGTCTCGTACCAAGAATCAAAACGTGGATCATATCGGAAACACCTGGCAGTTGCAATTTCATTATTTTCATTGTTGTCATACTTTCCTCCGCAAACATACATGAAATTATCTACAACTACAACTGAAGGGTTATACAGAGGTACGGGAGCATCGCGTAAAAAGCCAGGTTTCTTAGTTTTAAATGTGTATGTTTCTACATTGTGAGCATGACTCATGATCAGACTTCTTCTCTCAGATCGAACTTGTGTTCGAGGATTTTGTAACAATGGTTGCTTGCTAACAACAATATGATAATCTTTTGCTTCTGTTATCAAATCAACACATTCTGCATCATTCTGCATCAAATCAACTCGACTCACTTTTTCTACCAATTCCTCCCCAGATAATAGCGGAATTCGAATATTACGCATTAAAAGAGCAATATACCCCTTCCTGTTTTCCAAATCATGCCGGATCCACTGTAAAACTAATTCAAACAATTTATATTCTGATACAACACACAGACAATTTTCTTCTAACATGGAAGCTAGTTGGGCTGCTGTAAGTTTTAAATATTGCTCAGACACAGCTAATATTTCAAAATTATCCAGCATGTATTGTCTAGCCTTACTATATGTAGTTGATAAATTATACATTTCTGCCAAGTTCAAAATGTCAACACAGTTCTCCACAGTAATGGCAGTTTCAATATATCTACTACACAGTTCTACTGCGTCTGCAACTTGTAAATGTGTAGCAGCTAACAAAACATCTTCAACATTTTCTAAACTTAATTCAAGTTTTCCTGTGTATGCAAAATCTACGACAAAAGTTAAACCCCTTGCAGTGACGCCTTTCAATTCGACACAAGCTTCTCGCCTCTCCTTCATGTCACTTGTTAGCATAACCCTAAAGTAGTCACTACAAGCTGCCATGACAGCTCTATGAACACGTACATCTTGACCTTCAGCAATCACAGAGTAATCACAGAGGGTGTCAGTATTGCGCAAGTCATGTAAACCCTGCAATAACTTACAACAATGATTTTTTGATGTAAGACTTGGAACACTGGTATCCTCCTGGCTATCTTCTGATTTCACCTTCCCATCTTGACCAGCTGACATTTTACCTAGACAAGTCTTCACCACCACATGTAAACCTGAATCACCACTACTCTGAAATTTCACACGTCGGGATAAGGGCATGTTGTTAACAGATCAGCATTCCCTGTAAAAAATAATTGATAGAGATATATTCTAAATTCATAATTATATACATATTAATCTTACTTTAAAGAAGCAAACCCAATCTTACTACTGGATTCCCCGACAAAAACCCATGGCATGCGATGTGGGGCCGCCTTGTATGAGTGGCTAGCGGTTGTGATAACAGTGAGAGACTTAAATGTATAGCAGACTCTGAGATGCAATGACGAGAAAAGATCGAAGTTGGCAGAGACTAATCCAAGAATTGACTTAGGCTTCGATACTTATGGTAAACATGACAAATACAAACTGAAATTGGGCCGTCCCTCAATTAAGCGGTGTTTTGAGAGATATTTGAAGCAATTGTTTGATAGTTTGAAAATGTTTTTTTGTCCAAATATACCATCAAGTCACACATTTTGTAAGAGGGAAGGTTTCTTTAAAGAGCCACTAAGGAGTCTATCCTTGTGGAAATTGTCAAGATCAATTTTGATATTGATGCAATATTTACACTTAACAGCAAACTTGTAGACTGACAGACCGTTTACTTTTAGACATTTAGTTAACTCTAGACTATTTCCTCAAATCAAACAAGTTTGAGAATCCAGATTGGTGAATAATTTGAATGTTCATAGCTGCATTCACAATCAGAGATTACTACAATCAAAGGCTTGTAAACTATTGCATGCACTGACGCAGCTAGGTAGTTTCTGTATTCATTGAAGCAAAATATTTAGTGGTGTGGACAGTAGATAATTACAAAGCATCAAAAATAAAAATAAACAAAACCTTTGACATGTTTTAGAGGGTACAGGTAAAGACAATTAACAACCAAATACTAGTAGTGTACATATTATAATATGTATAGTAAATATAAGGCATACCAATTATGCTCCAAAATTATTGAACTGAGAATAGGTTGATACTTGGTGTGTGTACAAAGTTTCATAACGATACCTTAAATGGTTTATGAGATATGCTCCAAAAATGAAATTGTTAATTTTGGTTATTTGAATCCCAATGTGAATAGCGTCGGGGGTTTGCCACTTGAAACTATATAGCACCATCTCTTATCTCGAAACACAGAGGGTTGAGAGATGAGGTATCTTATCTATTATTATATTATTGAACTGAGAATAGGTTGATACTTGGTGTGTGTAAAAAGTTTCATAACAATACCTTAAATGGTTTATGAGACATGCTCCAGAAATGAAATTGTTAATTTTGGTTATTTGAATCCCAATGTGAATAGCGTCGGGGGTTTGCCACTTGAAACTATATAGCACCATCTCTTATCTCGGAACACAGAGGGTTAAGAGATGAGGTTTCTTATCTATCATTATATTTGTGCCAGATGTGGCGAAAAATAGAAGGTAAGGACTCAAAAATAGCCTTGAATTTACAGAGGTGTGGTAGCATTTTGCACATTAATTCTGGAACGGCAAGAGGACTTTGTTTAGCTACGAGAACATAACTAAAAACGCTGAGATATACTGATGTGCTTGTTTTTAGCTACGATTGGATGCCTTTAGTTCCAAGTGGCAAACTCAATTTCTTTATTAATGTATGTACCATCTTAAAAATAAGTTAATTTTATACTATTAGTACTTATTATATACGCAGTCCAATCAACTGAAACAACATTCATTTATCAGCAAATATTGACAATAAAGTAAATCAAGCATTGTTTTTATCAAAATTGATTCGGACGTTCATAATTACGCCATAATACCTACTGCGCAACTCTGATCAGATAGGTACTTTGATTGGTTATTGCACACGAGGCCCCGCCTTTATGTGTTACAGACGTAAATTTAAAATGTCGGGAAAAGCAATCTACTGTCGCTTTGATTTAAAAAGAGGGGATTTGTACCCGTTTCAGGTAGGATTATATGCTTAATTGTAGTTGGGTGTGGCAGAAATATTATAAATAACAATAACCAATCGTTGTTTTGATTAAAAATATTGCCAATTTTGTTTACAAATGCTGGGTGCGAATCGCTCCCGCATGTGCTACATTGAAGGCAATGGCCTCATCTCTTATCTCGAAACATGGAGGGTTTAGAAATTAAGGTTTGTTATCTAGACTTTGTTGTGTCCGTGAGGAGAGAGTTCTGAAAGGAACGAGGCCTACTCAAAGGAAGTCCTTAGAACTAAAGTTAGAACCATGTACTAATGTGGCTGGAGTCAAAGCTGGAAATTATTAGTAGCGGAACATAGTTATAATAGTATTATTATTAAGTTTTTCCAAATCTTATCTATTAAATCATGTCCACCAGATGAAATGCCAAATCATAAATTGGACATGTACACCTGCCACTGACTTATGATCGCCAGAATTTTGATTTCGAAAACCATGGTATAGCCTACGCTTATTGTCTTTTTATATAAGTAGATTTGACTTACAGTCTTTAGTTGGGCGAAGAAATTATTTAAACAAAAAAATACTTCTCATGAAGATTTTTCATTTTTCATTTCCAGATCAAAACAATCACTTCTCCTTTTTGCGGTTGTTGCAAATATTTTATGTTGCGGTTTTAAAAAATATTAACGGATAGATCTATCAACATGATAGAAATTTTTTGAAAAACATACAGTCTACATACTTCTTTTTGTTGATGATTAGAATACTGAAGGGATATCATATCAAAACAATAATTCTTAATGTCGTAAATATCATCCTTAAACACAGTTGTCTCCCATGCATTAAGATATTTTATAAAATTTTCGAGGTTTCCTGAGTCGACCCTAAGTCCAAAACAAATAGTCAGTCGAATAAACCGGTCGATGGCTTATTAAAATTTTGGAATCGTTTGTAATCTGTATAAGTTAAAGAAAAAACGCACTAATTCCAATATCTTTTATCATTGTTTTTGTTTATTTTTTACGTCCCCTCATGTTCAAATTTGATTGTTCAAATTAAAACTTTAAGGTGTTATCTTAGTTATTGCCACCGCGGCTTAATAAAGTCATGCTTGACTTTTTCCCTCATCCCCATATGCCCCCATCTTTTAAGTGCACGCCAATGTGTACACGGGACCTCGGTTTTTCGTCCCATCCGAACGACTAGACATCTGGCCTCGTCCAGTCGATAAAATCAGTCAGTTAGTTCAGTCGAATAATCCAGTCGAATAAACCAGTCGAAAAGTTCAGTCGAATAAACCAGTCGAATAGTTCAGTCGAATAATCCAGTCGAATAATTCAGTCGAATAAACAAGTCGCTCAATATTAAGCAGCGGTGGCAGCGGGCTAAGATAATATAGTAGCAAATCATGCTCGTAGCCATAGCTGAAGGAGCCGGGGGCATGGGGTAGGGACCGGGGGGCTTCCCAACTAGTTTCAAGAAATGAAAAGAAATGAAATGGGGTTTTAACGTCCTACTGTTCTGCTTGGAACTGGGCTAATGAAGACGGGCAGACGCCATACACTGTGCGATGAGGGAAATTTTGCCCGGACAGCGGCACTACGGCCTACTCTTATATCGAATTCCATCTGTCAAAGGGATCTTTTACGTCCACTCCAATGTAGACACGGGACCTCGGTTTTTCGTCTCATCCGAAAGACTAGACAGCTGTCCTTGTCCGCCTCGAAAAGAATAGAGTCCCTATATATGATATAAACGAAGAAACGGATGGGGTGGGGCGGGGGTGGGGGGGGATGAGGTATTTGACATTTTCATGTGGCCTCGTCCAGTCGATAAAATCAGTCAGTTAGTTCAGTCGAATAATCCAGTCGAATAAACCAGTCGAAAAGTTCAGTCGAATAAACCAGTCGAATAGTTCAGTCGAATAATTCAGTCGAATAATCCAGTCGAATAATTCAGTCGAATAAACAAGTCGCTCAATATTAAGCAGCGGTGGCAGCGGGCTAAGATAATATAGTAGCAAATCATGCTCGTAGCCATAGCTGAAGGAGCCGGGGGCATGGGGTAGGGACCGGGGGGCTTCCCAACTAGTTTCAAGAAATGAAAAGAAATGAAATGGGGTTTAACGTCCTTCTGTTCTGCTTGGAACTGGGCTAATGAAGACGGGCAGACGCCATACACTGTGCGATGAGGGAAATTTTGCCCGGACAGCGGCACTACGGCCTACTCTTATATCGAATTCCATCTGTCAAAGGGATCTTTTACGTCCACTCCAATGTAGACACGGGACCTCGGTTTTTCGTCTCATCCGAAAGACTAGACAGCTGTCCTTGTCCGCCTCGAAAAGAATAGAGTCCCTATATATGATATAAACGAAGAAACGGATGGGGTGGGGCGGGGGTGGGGGGGGATGAGGTATTTGACATTTTCATGTGGCCTCGTCCAGTCGATAAAACCAGTCAGTTAGTTCAGTCGAATAATCCAGTCGAATAAACCAGTCGAATAATTCAGTCGAAAAGTTCAGTCGAATAAACCAGTCGAATAGTTCAGTCGAATAATTCAGTCGAATAATCCAGTCGAATAATTCAGTCGAATAAACAAGTCGCTCAGTATTAAGCAGCGGTGGCAGCGGGCTAAGATAATATAGTAGCAAATCATGCTCGTAGCCATAGCTGAAGGAGCCGGGGGCATGGGGTAGTGACCGGGGGGCTTCCCAACTAGTTTCAAGAAATGAAAAGAAATGAAATGGGGTTTTAACGTCCTACTGTTCTGCTTGGAACTGGGCTAATGAAGACGGGCAGAAGCCATACACTGTGCGATGAGGGAAATTTTGCCCGGACAGCGGCACTACGGCCTACTCTTATATCGAATTCCATCTGTCAAAGGGATCTTTTACGTCCACTCCAATGTAGACACGGGACCTCGGTTTTTCGTCTCATCCGAAAGACTAGACAGCTGTCCTTGTCCGCCTCGAAAAGAATAGAGTCCCTATATATGATATAAACGAAGAAACGGATGGGGTGGGGCGGGGGTGGGGGGTGGATGAGGTATTTGACATTTTCATGTGGCCTCGTCCAGTCGATAAAATCAGTCAGTTAGTTCAGTCGAATAATCCAGTCGAATAAACCAGTCGAATAATTCAGTCGAAAAGTTCAGTCGAATAAACCAGTCGAATAGTTCAGTCGAATAATCCAGTCGAATAATTCAGTCGAATAAACAAGTCGCTCAATATTAAGCAGCGGTGGCAGCGGGCTAAGATAATATAGTAGCAAATCATGCTCGTAGCCATAGCTGAAGGAGCCGGGGGCATGGGGTAGGGACCGGGGGGCTTCCCAACTAGTTTCAAGAAATGAAAAGAAATGAAATGGGGTTTAACGTCCTTCTGTTCTGCTTGGAACTGGGCTAATGAAGACGGGCAGACGCCATACACTGTGCGATGAGGGAAATTTTGCCCGGACAGCGGCACTACGGCCTACTCTTATATCGAATTCCATCTGTCAAAGGGATCTTTTACGTCCACTCCAATGTAGACACGGGACCTCGGTTTTTCGTCCCATCCGAAAGACTAGACAGCTGTCCTTGTCCGCCTCGAAAAGAATAGAGTCCCTATATATGATATAAACGAAGAAAGGGGGTGGGGTGGGGCGGGGGTGGGGGGTGGATGAGGTATTTGACATTTTCATGTGGCCTCGTCCAGTCGATAAAATCAGTCAGTTAGTTCAGTCGAATAATCCAGTCGAATAAACCAGTCGAATAATTCAGTCGAAAAGTTCAGTCGAATAAACCAGTCGAATAGTTCAGTCGAATAATTCAGTCGAATAATCCAGTCGAATAATTCAGTCGAATAAACAAGTCGCTCAATATTAAGCAGCGGTGGCAGCGGGCTAAGATAATATAGTAGCAAATCATGCTCGTAGCCATAGCTGAAGGAGCCGGGGGCATGGGGTAGGGACCGGGGGGCTTCCCAACTAGTTTCAAGAAATGAAAAGAAATGAAATGGGGTTTAACGTCCTTCTGTTCTGCTTGGAACTGGGCTAATGAAGACGGGCAGACGCCATACACTGTGCGATGAGGGAAATTTTGCCCGGACAGCGGCACTACGGCCTACTCTTATATCGAATTCCATCTGTCAAAGGGATCTTTTACGACCACGTCAATGTGGACACGGGACCTCGGTTTTTCGTCCCATCCGAACGACTAGACAGCTGTCCTTGTCCGCCTCGAAAAGAATAGAGTCCCTATATATGATTTGAACGAAGAAAGGCGGTGGGGTGGGGCGGGGGTGGGGGGTGGATGAGGTATTTGACATTTTCATGTGGCCTCGTCCAGTCGATAAAATCAGTCAGTTAGTTCAGTCGAATAATCCAGTCGAATAAACCAGTCGAATAATTCAGTCGAAAAGTTCAGTCGAATAAACCAGTCGAATAGTTCAGTCGAATAATTCAGTCGAATAATCCAGTCGAATAATTCAGTCGAATAAACAAGTCGCTCAATATTAAGCAGCGGTGGCAGCGGGCTAAGATAATATAGTAGCAAATCATGCTCGTAGCCAAAGCTGAAGGAGCCGGGGGCATGGGGTAGGGACCGGGGGGCTTCCCAACTAGTTTCAAGAAATGAAAAGAAATGAAATGGGGTTTTAACGTCCTACTGTTCTGCTTGGAACTGGGCTAATGAAGACGGGCAGACGCCATACACTGTGCGATGAGGGAAATTTTGCCCGGACAGCGGCACTACGGCCTACTCTTATATCGAATTCCATCTGTCAAAGGGATCTTTTACGTCCACTCCAATGTAGACACGGGACCTCGGTTTTTCGTCTCATCCGAAAGACTAGACAGCTGTCCTTGTCCGCCTCGAAAAGAATAGAGTCCCTATATATGATATAAACGAAGAAACGGATGGGGTGGGGCGGGGGTGGGGGGGGATGAGGTATTTGACATTTTCATGTGGCCTCGTCCAGTCGATAAAACCAGTCAGTTAGTTCAGTCGAATAATCCAGTCGAATAAACCAGTCGAATAATTCAGTCGAAAAGTTCAGTCGAATAAACCAGTCGAATAGTTCAGTCGAATAATCCAGTCGACTAATTCAGTCGAATAAACAAGTCGCTCAATATTAAGCAGCAGTTAGTTCAGTCGAATAATCCAGTCGAATAAACCAGTCGAAAAGTTCAGTCGAATAAACCAGTCGAATAGTTCAGTCGAATAATTCAGTCGAATAATCCAGTCGAATAATTCAGTCGAATAAACAAGTCGCTCAATATTAAGCAGCGGTGGCAGCGGGCTAAGATAATATAGTAGCAAATCATGCTCGTAGCCATAGCTGAAGGAGCCGGGGGCATGGGGTAGTGACCGGGGGGCTTCCCAACTAGTTTCAAGAAATGAAAAGAAATGAAATGGGGTTTAACGTCCTTCTGTTCTGCTTGGAACTGGGCTAATGAAGACGGGCAGACGCCATACACTGTGCGATGAGGGAAATTTTGCCCGGACAGCGGCACTACGGCCTACTCTTATATCGAATTCCATCTGTCAAAGGGATCTTTTACGTCCACTCCAATGTAGACACGGGACCTCGGTTTTTCGTCTCATCCGAAAGACTAGACAGCTGTCCTTGTCCGCCTCGAAAAGAATAGAGTCCCTATATATGATATAAA